ATATCCATTTTAATTGAAATTAGGGTTTTTGCCCTAAAAGTTAAAAATATTCAAAAATAATACCTTTTTATTTTCTTATTTTATTTTACATAAACCATACTTTTTTTTCATACATATAAAAAACTTTTTTTTTGCATTTTGCATATTTACTTCATTTCCATTTAATTATGCAATTTATTTACCTTGCAAATATTAAAAAATGATGTAATAATTTAGATTTAAATTCTTGTCTAAATATCCCCCATTTGTAAATTTGTACCCCCTTCCCTATATTATTATGTTGTAATAGCGTAGGAATTTAAATTTCGCACTTTATACGCTTTCTAATTATGCCATGTTAGAATTAGGGTTTGCATGCGAAAAACGATAAAAAATAGTTGGACCTAATACAAGATGAATGAGCATGAAAATAAACAACACATCTCACACTTGCACCCCTAGGGTACTCCACTTTGTTGCCTTCAAATAAATGGGCCATATTGCATGTTAGGTCTCTTTGGGCAAAACAACAAATTGAATGATCATAGTCCCTCGATAACATTTTCAAAATACTTCCAAAACAAATGATCAAGTCCCTTAAAGAAAATGCCCAAAGATACTTGGCACCATTGTAATTATGGTCTAAACGATGACCGCGCCTGTCTCTTTCACATCCTAACACAAGGTTGCCCACCAAATGCAATGGTGGAACAAACTTGTCAAAAGGGTTAAAACATAACAATAATCTTTGAGAAATTTAGGAGTAGATAACCTCTTAGTTACTTGAAACAAACTTGCAAAACAAAACACTTGCCTATTTTCTAAAACCACACCTCACAACACTTTCAAAACAAACTTTCAAAAACAAATGAAAACCTTTTCAAAAGACATACACCTTTGTATACATCCCAACATGGATCATTACAAAGGTTGCCACCACATTGGCCTCTTTTCAAAATATTTTCAAACCCACACACACAAAGCACCATTTCAAACAAATTGAAAACATAAGGCAAGTGATCTAAGCAAGTAACTAAGAGCCCATGGATAACCATGGATAGAAAGGGTGCTAATACCTTCCCTTTCTATAATCTACTCCCCGAACCCAAGAAAACATCTCAAAAGGTTTTTTGCTGTGCTTTTTAACCTTTCCTTAGGATAAAATAAAAAGTCGGTGGCGACTCTTGCTCAACCGAAACATTTGCGAATACGAACGCAAAACACTAGTCAGTTCTCCCACCGTATCACAGCAGTGGTGGAGGAAATTGTTCAAGTCCCGCTAGTAGAAGATGTTACAGAAGATACATTGGTTTGAAGGAAGGACAACCTGAGTGCTATAGTGTGAGGTTCAGATACAGGGTGTGGAGGAACGCTATCAAAAGAGATTTAGATAGGGGAAATAAGCGGAATTGGAATAGCCCGTGGAATATTAAAGCTCCTTCTAGAGTTAAACATTTATTCTGGAGGATTTGTCAGGATTGTCTTCCTTCTCGAGTGAGACTTCGTCAGTATCATGTGTCCGGGTGAGTGCCTTTTTTGTAACAATGATATAGAAGATGATTTACATGTGTTTTTTAGTTGCCCTGAAATAAATAAATGTAACCCCCGAGCAGCCATTTCGACCAGCTCATGTTCAGGAACTCTAGTAAAACATCTAGACTTTAGGACCCTGAACCTATTCAAATAAGCCTCCATTGACTCAGACGACCTTTTCTTGATTGAGGACAATTCTTTCAAACTTATCTTGGACTGACCAGCATAAAATTGCTCATGAAGTATGCCCTTAAGTTGTTCCCAAGTGCGTATAGAATTTGGAGCCAATGTTGTAAACCAAGTAAAAGCATTCTTGGTTAGTGAATTAGGAAAATATCTTAATTTTAAACCCTCATCATTGGTGATATCGTCAGCTTCTGTTTCGTACCTAGCAATGTGTTCGATGATAGACTCATTAGCATCACTATTAAACTTGGTAAATTTAGGTACTTACATCCCCTAGGTAATTCTGCCTGTCGAATATAATCAGGAAATGGAGACGAATAATTAGGCCTTCAAAGGCCAACATTTACCCCAGATCGTGTTAACATTTCTTCTACTATATTCACTATGTTGTTATGCCCAACAGTGGTATTTCTTAACACTCGATCAATATCTTGGTTCCTCCTAACCACGACCGGTCTAGGTTCGTATTGTTCAACGGATTCTTCCTCTTCATAAGTGGGCACTTCCAACCTTCAAGGTCTGAAAGGATGCTCATTGTTACCTCCCTCCAGTTCTTCAAAAACTCTTAACAAACTTTGGTGCGTCTGAGTTGGATTGACCCCTAATGACTCGACCAATCTGCCAATTTGGTCAAATACAGAATTAAAGGCAACTCCCATTTGCTGAATTAAAACATTCACTAACTCTAAATTACTTTCATCCATCTATTGTCTCAAAGCTATAACAGAAGTAGTATTCAAAGATGGTGTCGACTGAGGGATATAACCAACACCACTTGGTCGACCACCTGGGACATAATTGCCTTGGTGTCCAATGGCCACTATGTTTTCTATATATGTGGATGGGTTCGACTGTAACCCAACTATCATGGAATAAGACATATCATATTGATGAGGGACAAATGATGACCCTGGACCCTCCAGAAAGAGTGATCGATTTGGGTCAAATGGTGATACCCCATGCCTAGTTTCTGTCGTTGTGACTCTTGTCACTGAACCATGAACAACAGTCGATCTCACAGGAGATAAAATCTCTGCGCTTGGAGTTATGGCACTCACTGGTATGATATCCATATTTTGCATAGAAATCCGTGTATGCAGTGTTTGTGTCAGAGCGTGGCATTTTAGACTTCGACAAATGTTTACCACTTCTTAAATTCATACGCACAAACTAAACTACAAGAAACTTTGTAAAACCAAACACAAATACAAAATTATTAGCACTGTCCCATTGGGTGTGCCAATTTGTTTACCTATGGTTTCGATAAATAACACTGGTCTCTTAACAAAAGTTTACTTGCGAGATCGACCGAGGAATCTCAGTACAGTGCTTCAGTTTTCAAGTGTTTTCACAAAGTGTTTTTAAAAAGGATTCGTTTGAATGGTGCTAAATGGATTTATAAGCAATAAACCAAGACTAGTAAAATAAAACGAAAAACATTTTAAACTGTAAACATAAATGCCATAACATCAAAATAGTTGAAAATAAGTTGATTCAAACACAAATTGCCCTAGCTTGACTCATTTCGCTCGTTTGTTTGGTTACTTTGGGTGACTATCGTATAGGAATGTGAAAGTTTGAACCTCTAACACTATACACTAAGTGCTTTATTATTTAATAACTGCTTTCTGGAGAGCTTCGTTTCTTTGTACGTCACATGTATATTTCTCTCCACAAACCCATGTTCTCCACTCAAACTCATTTCCCTCTAAAGCGTTTCGCTCGCTTGGTCTGGACTCTTTGGGCTTTTCGACGTTTCCATGCCTAATTAACTACTTAAGGGGTCTCTTCTGGTCGACTGCAGCTGTAGTCGACTTAGATAATTTCAACTTTTCAAAGAAGCTTCTTGGATTCTTTTCTCTTGGTTGAATTTTAGTCCTTGTCAAAAATTCCAGTCAACACCAGCTCAAACAAAGCATCCTTCTTTGGCTGGAAAAACAACCAGCTGAAATGATGTTCCAACATCAGTTCTGACATCAAGGACTTAATCATTTACTATGGATTTGAAGACACCACCCATAGTAATCAAACATAATTCTTGCAGGAACCCCAAGGAAACCACATTTTTGCTCATTCATAGACCAAGTCAAGAAGCACCAGAAAAGAACCCCTCATATACTTTTTGCATCAACATATCAGACAAATACATAACTCTCTCAGAGTATTTGCCATCAATCAGATGCATACATTTTTTTCAGAGAAACATTTTCCTATACTTAAACAACAGATAAAGTTGTCCTCTTCAAAATTAGAAGAACACTTTGGAGCTGTGGACAACACTCAACCACTTTGAATGATACACACTTCAACTGAGAGTTTAATCTCCCTTAACTCAGATTGACATAACTCCACTGCATACATCTCCTTGAAAGTCTCTTCGACTTTAGCAGAAAAAGATTTCCATGTTCTCATAGACTTGATGAGTAATATCAAGTTAGAGTAAATAACCTTCATTCTGTTTGTGAGGAACACCAGCCAGATATATTGAGAAAGGAAGATTCTCAACATAAAAGTGTCAAGACATCGATTAATGCTTTATCTCCAAAGCACAAGATAATGACACTTATGGCCTTATCCACCATCCCAGTCTTCTCATCTTGTATAAGGCTTACATGCATCAATGCATTTCCCTTCAATGTTTCTACACAACTTTTTGAATTAGTATTACTTTCATATTCACTTTTCATAATTCAAAATCGTTGTCTCCATAAAACTTCTCGATGCCCCATTTGGAATCTGTTATGGACCGGCCAAAAGCCTAAAAGACTAAGGCTCAATACAATCTAAAATTCACTCCACTTGAACTAAGGTATAAAATTAGTTCACACGTTAAGAGTAAGGTACATTCTTTGATCTCCATTTTTACTATACTCATATTGAAACTTGAACTGAATTTCACATTAGAGTGCTAGCCATGATGGTCTACCTCGCGCCACCATAAAGGAGATCAGAGCCGCCGCTTGTAGAAATCGACTTTAGATTCCTGTAATTTCCATGATTTTATATCTATTCCTTAACTTACCAGTTCGTAACTTCCTTAGGTCACCAAATCAAGAACAAATTAACCTCCGATTTACACGCTTTCCACACATTTGTGTTTGCTTTCCAACTCCATTTTCACAACCTCCTTAGGTCTCAGAATCAAGAAGTGCTCGAAATTGAATCAAAGATCTATCACAACCGGTTAAACTAATCATCTTCTCAACTATGATTCTCCAAAATCCAGATCTTCGGTTCTCTCAGAAATTAAGAAAAATAGAAAAAAGAAGAGTCTCAAATCTAGATCTAGGGTTAAGCTGAGGTCAAAAGGCGATTTCCATGAAGGTTAGGTCGAAGATTTTCGATTCTCCCTCTAATCTAACATCACCCATACTTCCCACAACTACTGGTGTACTTACCATGTGGACATTAGAAGATGCCATAAGTTTATAATTAATGACGCTCGAATACCACAAGTTCATAGTTAACATCGAGAGCCAATCCAATTTTGGGGTGCCTCCCGTAGGCACCATAAGATTTCCACTTGATGTACCTTGGTTTCCTAAGGTCTGATAAAAGAGTAGAGGTTCACGAAACATGTCAAGAGAAAGGTACTTCAGATACCAGTTGAAAGGAGACTGGTCGGTAACAACCTCTGACTTCCGGAATATCTTGTTCCAAAGGAAACACTGAGTGGAAAGAGCAACTTTTACTCCTCCTACAAAAATCAGAAAGGTGACCTATCAAGGGACACCACCAACATCTAACCATCATACCAGGTTTGGGAGAAGCCGATCACTAGACTAGATTAGCCACAGGCAGACCTTCAGCCTCATATGGATTACTAGAGGAAGATATACACAATGGAATAGGAAGGAAACCATGGGGTCTCAGACCTAGTGATCAAAGGGTGCTTCGAGTAACACCCCAATTTTATATTTAGTCTATATTTAAATAATTATTTATTTGTTTGATTTTGTGAATAAATGATTGGTTGATGTATGTTGTATGTGATGAGTTAGTCGGGTTAAGTATGTCGAACTGTAGAATTATAATTAGTAATAATATGGTTTAGGATGATTATTTTATTAAGTGAGAATTGTAGAAAATAATAGAATAATAGTAACTGGGCTTTATTGTGAGTATATGAAGAGTTAATAGGGGGTGTGATAACGAGCCCATTAACTTGATGTTTGGGTTTAGAGTTAGTATTACGATATTAGGGTTTTGAATAGAAGAGAAGATAAAAGTTAGTAAGAGGAAAAGGAGAAAAGGAGTCTCAAGTAGAGAAGAGGAAAATGAGAAAGAGGAGAAGAGCACTGATCAGTATATTTTGATGCACATTCTTTCATGATTGTACTTGTGCATTTCCATGGTTTGTTTAGCTTAATTTTGTATTTTATAGTGTTTTTCTATTTTAGTTTATTTCTACTCTTATTTTATTTTCGCACTTTATTTTCAGCATTAGCAGTCTGCATGAATAAATTCGTAACTTGAGCTACGGGAGTCGGAATAAGGCGTGCTACTAGTCATTGGAAAGCTAAGAGAAAGAGATACGATTTTCATTCAGAAGTCGAGAGATGAATCGGACTGTAAAAGGGCCATAAAATTCGTTGAAGTTGCAGCATTTTATATTTAAGTTTTGGGTCATTTGTTTTGGGTCTGAGTTATGTTTTTGACCCAGTTGGGTTATGAATCGAATCCTTGTTCTTGCTATACCTAGCAGCCGCTACAGTAATTTAGTTTTTACCTTTTCATTATTCAGAAAAAAAACTTTGACTTATACGCTTGAATGAAGAACTAATCATCCAGAGTTGATCTACTGTAATTGCGTTCCGATGCTTTGAGGTTTTTAATTTATCAATTCAATTTCGTTTTTCTTTCAATTCTATTTTATGAAATTGTATTTGCTTAATCTATTATTTCATGGAATGTCTTGATTAAATTCGTATGGTTGTATTCCTAATCTTTAATCGTTGTTTACGTCGCTTAGTCGTTAAATCACGTTCTATATCGTGTTTGCTTAATTCACGATTATATTAATCCGTTTGCTTAATTCGGAATGGGAATTCAATCTATTTTATATCTATTGCGCTTGTCAATTGGTATTGAAATCGAATAGAGGTCGAAGCCGCTTAAGGAATTGATAAGGTAAAAACCAATGATTAGCAGGAACCTGAAAACCGTAGATCGACTTATTTTTATAATCACTTATTTTAATCACTTATTTCGTGTTATGAATCGATCCTAAAACCAACCCCATTCGATTTCTATTAGTTAATAATAAAATCAAGAATCCTTGCGATACGGATCGAGCCATTGTCGCTATACTGCATTTTAAAATAACTCATTTTTGATCCGTCCGCGACAGCGAATCAAATTGGCGCCGTTGCCAAGGATTCTAGTTTTTATTAACTGATATTATAGTCATATGTTTAGTGTTCTTGTTATTATTTTTCTTGGTTTTTTTGTTGTTTTGTTGTGTTTGTTGATTTTCAGGATTATAATTCCGGTTGCAGTACAGTTTTTCAACCTGTCAGGTAAGTTTAGAAGTTACTGTTTCGATTTGCTCCGATGTTTTTTCACAAATCAGCAAAAAATTGATGAACATTAATCTTTTAGAATAGAATTCTAAAAGTATTTGACCCTCAAAATCGAAAATTCGTCTTTTTTTAAATAATTTTTTACTGTTTTCATAGTGTCGAAAAAATCCAAAAAAAATCTCAAAAATAATATTTTGCTCTATTAGATTAAATTTTGTATTTTTGTATTTTTTTGAATTTATTTTAATCGTTTTCTTTCTTTCTATTTGTTTCTTCCTGTTTGGGACATAGTTGGCATTTTTGTGTTTATTGATAACATGGCTGAACAAAGAACTTTGAGGCAATTGACTGCCCCTGATGTGAACTATAATGGTGTATGTATTGACTATCTTGCAGCTGATGCACCTACTGAATCGAAATCTGATTTAATACACTTGTTGTCAAAGCTTAATAGTCTTACAGGTGAGGATCCGCATAATCTGAAGGAATTCCAGGTTGTGTGCTTAACACCTTCTGAACCTTCACTAGAGGATATTATCAAACAAATGGCTGCAAATAATCTCCAGTATGAACAATAAATAGATTCTACTCTCCAGACTTTGCAAACACAGATTGAACAACTTGCCTCTTTGATGAATATCATGCAACAAGCTCAAGGATCTAACCAACAACCCTTGGAAGAGAATTTTGTTTTTCCAATAGAGTTGCTTTCTGAGACTGTTGATGATACTTGTACTAATTTATTTGCAGCTGATTTTCCATCATTATCTGATTTTGATGATGTTTACTCTTGTGATGTTTGTACTGCTATTAAAATTTGCTCTGTCTGTGCTGAAATTGAGGCTGCCTTGCAAGTTGATATTCTTACTGTAGATGAGGTTGCAAATGAAGTTGTTCATGTGGAAGAAGCTCTCGATACTTCAGCTGCTCGAAACAAACCATCCATTAAACAAGCACCTTTCCGAGAGCTAAAACTAATTCCTGAAAATCTTAATTATGCTTATCTAGAGATGAATGAAAAACTCCCGATTATAATTTCTTCTAAACTTTATTTTGATCAAGAAAGTAAATTTTTGCAGGTTTTGAAGAAGCATAAGAAAGGAATTGGATAAACCTTAGATGATATTTATGATATTAGTCCATCCATGTGCATGCATAGGATCTCACTTGAAGATGTTGCAAAAGCAGTGAGGCAGCCCCGTAACCTTTTGATCCTTGATATTGTTAAAGATAAGATCACGTTCACGTGCCTATTTGAAACTTTTACTTTTAGAAGAGCATTCTTTGATCCAGGGATAAAAAGTAAAGGTACTGATAAAAATTGCAAAGTCAAAGGACACCGCCTCAAGCTATTCCATGAGAGTCCCACGTTGGAAGAGGAAACTATAAAAGTGTTCTCGTTGGGAAAGGCTACTTATACGATCATCTATCCGCCTTGACTTCTCGGGTGTGTTCTTTCCTCTCTCTCCTCTCTCTTATTTTATGCTTGTTTCTTTCAATGAGGACAATGTGTGTTTTAAGTGTGGGGGAGAGAATTATTTATTTGTTTTGTTTTCTTTGCTTTTGTTCGTTGTTTTATTTTCAGTTATAAAAAAATAAAAAAATATGTATCTTTTTGAAAGTTTTGGGTTATAGACTAATATGAGGTTAGTTGTGGAGACTTGGAAAAAGTTCACAAGATCGGTATCGTATTAACACTGTAAGTCTCATGCATATGGAAGTTAATTTGAATTTTTATTATGACGTAGCCTTGAATTCTCACCTTTTAATAGCTCTTGAGTAGTTTATTTCAGCAGTCAGCACCATCTCACACGCACTCTACACAGGGAAGCCGATGTAAATAAGTGAGTGATTCAAGTTTTATTTGAAAAAAAAGGAAAGAAAAAGGAATGTGCCTTCTAAGTTTGGTGACCGTAACCCGGTCACTTAAGTCAACGGTCATAGAACCTACAAAAAAAAGTTAATAATAAGACTCGTTGTTAGTTGGTTCAGCGATTTCTGGTGCTGAATTTGGTAGGAAGGATTACGGTCCGATCCCCCGCAACTACAATCGAGTAATCAAAGGGTTATGCCACGTAAGTGCCAGAACCTCATGCAAAAAGGATCAAAGTCACTAACCGGTCGCCTTGCTATGAGTGCGTGGAGATAACGGTTTTAATGTGATTGCGCCTGAATGAAAAAGAGAAAAAAAAGAGGATGAGCAAGTTAGGCTTTGGCATAATAATATGATTCGAATTGGTTTACATATTCAAGAGACAAGATCAGTGTTCCTACGATATCCTTAGTGTGCAAGATTAGCATATATTGATGCAATCTTAACCGAAGAAGAGTTTGTAGCCTAGAATGAGTAGCTGATGATGCTGTTGTGTTTCTTTTGATTTTATTTTGCTCGGAATGCAAAAGTTCAAGTGTGGGGGAATTTGATCAGTGCATTTTGATGCACATTCTTTCATGATTTTACTTATGCATTTCCATGGTTTGTTTAGCTTAATTTTGTATTTTATAGTGTTTTTCTATTTTAGTTTATTTCTACTCTTATTTTATTTCCGCACTTTATTTTCAGCATTAGCAGTCTGCACGAATAAATTCATAACTTGAGCTACGGGAGTCGGAATAGCAGTTGTTGGAAAGCTAAGAGAAAGATCTACGATTTTCATTTAGAACTCGAGAGCTGAATCGGACTGTAGAAGGGCCATAAAACTCGTTGAAGTTGCATAATTTTATATTTAAGTTTTGGATCATTTGTTTTGGGTCTGGGTTATGTTTTCGACCTAGTTGGGTTATGAACCGAATCCTTGTCCTTGCTATACCTAGCAGCCACTACAGTAATTTAGTTTTTACCTTTTCATTTTTCAGAAAAAAAACTTTGACTTATACGCTTGAATGAAGAACTAATCATCCAGAGTTGATCTACTGTAATCGCGTTCCGATGCTTTGATGTTTTTAATTTATCAATTCAATTTAGTTTCTCTTTCAATTCTATTTTATGAAATTGTATTTGCTTAATCTATTATTTCATGGAATGTCTTGATTAAATTCGTATGATTGTATTCCTAATCTTTAATCGTTGTTTACGTTGCTTAGTCGTTAAATCGCGTTCTATATCGTGTTTGCTTAATTCACGATTATATTAATCCGTTTGCTTAATTCAGAATGGGAATTCAATCTATTTTATATCTATTGCACTTGTCAATTAGTATTGAAATCGAATAGAGGTTGAAGCCGCTTAGGGAATTGATAAGGTAAAAACCAATGATTAGCAGGAACCTGAAAACCGTAGATCGACTTATTTT